TTCCAGAATATTTTTGTGGGTTACTTATTGGTTTGGTGATTTTAAAATTTACAGTGAGCTTAAGCATAATAGCTTTAGTAGCTAAATAAACCATTGAATTGTAGTGGTTTATCAGGCAGAACAAGGTCTCTTAGAATGCCTATACATAAGTACCTACTGTTAGTGGGAAACCTGGAATTTTGTGTGTAGAAAAAGTGGATTTGGGAGAAATCACCTTATTTCACACAGAAAGCTTTATGGGGGAACCTCAAATAACCAGAACTCTCCATCAGAAGTGGGTGACAAACATTTTAAGAACACGGCGTGGGGACTGGCAGTTTGTTGGGAATAAACGGTAAGCAATATAAAACAGGTTTAGGATCTCTTGCAGGCACTTTCTGACCAGATGTCCTCTTCCTGGCAGGCCATAAGAGCCAGCAGGTAGTTTCACAAATTTTGCTCACTGCAAATTCATTTAGGAAAACTTTATACTCTTAGCATCAGAAGGGAGGGTTTTGGGTTTGGTTTTTTTTTGCCTCCCTTTACTTTCAAGGGGAGGTTATCAAAGCCCTATTTGTTGCAGACTTGATTTTATTTAACTGTATATGCAGGCTAGTCAGTGCCTGGGGCATCATGCCCTACCCTTTGCCTTAGCAAAACATAATAGTACAGGACCCAGAGGCAGGGGAGCCCTGGATCTGCTTTATGTTGTGAATAGCTTTATGTTGTTGCTCCAAAGAGGGGGCCTTTGGCCAACGTCCAGATCTTACCTTGTGGCATGATGCTTTAGTTATGTGCTTGATAGTGACTAGTGGTATGAAAACTATAGGTTTCCCACCCACCCTTTGTTTCTCTGTGATTGGGAGAAAATAGTAGGAGATACTCTTTTTTTTCTGAGAACTGAGTACTATTCTTTTGGCCTTTCGCTATAAAGCATCCTAGTGGAAGGTTGACATTTGGCAGGGACATCCTGTGTAGAGAAGTGGGCAGCAACTGATGGTCATGGGATAGCTCTCCCTGAGACTCTGGCCCTGAGCTGATGTCGCACAGCTTGCAGTGGGCAGGGCCTAACACTGTTCACAGCAGCATTATGGTTCTGTATGTTTGTGTCAAGCAGGAAACTCTACTTTTCTATGTATCTAAGATAGACATTAATGATTTCTTTAAAAAAATTTCTCTGCCATTTCTCCATGGAAATACCACAGGACTGCTTAAGGGAAGTTTGCTTTAAGAAATTTTGAGTCCAAGCTGGTTTGACTCAGTGGATAGAGTGTCAGCCTGTGGACTGAAGGGTCCCAGGTTTGATTCTGGTCAAGGGCATGTAACTCAGTTGCATGCTTGATTCCTGGCCCTGGTTGGGGTGCATGCGGGAGGCAACCAATCAATGTGTCTCTTTCATCATTGATGTTTCTATCTCCCTCCCTCTTCCTTCCTCTCTGAAATCAATAAAATATATTTTAAAAAATAATAATAAAATAAAATGCCTTTTCTAGGTGACTCCACAGGCCTGAGCCTTTGGCATGGCAAGTGTTGGATAAACAGTGAAGATGGAGTGT